AACCCATCTGCCGGCCCATCGTGGCCCGGAGGCGCCGGCAGACCTGGGGAGCTAGTCCCATGGCCTCGTGACCCCAGCTTATACCAGCGACAATGCTGCCTTTGTACAATTTGAGGCGGATTGCTCGTTGTGGAATCTTCAAAGTCTGCAGCTTGCGAGTCTTTCTGGCAGCCTTGGTGCGTCTTGAACGCATCGTTTGAATCCTTCGAAGTCGACCGGCCGTGCAGTCGACTCCTAAATCTCTCATCACGTCGTGAACTTTTGGACCTCCTTTTGGAAGCTGTTCTTGGAGAATCTTTTTGACTGCTGCATTTGACACAATGAAACCAGTCTTCTGTGCCGAAACCTTCAGGTTGTCCTTCTCAAGTTCAGTTTTGACAATTCATATGCTTGGATTGCAATTCTGGCAGCATTGTAAGGGTCCCTGTCCCCAACATCGAAACTCAAGTCGTCGATCCAGAGATCCGTGTGGAGTTGTGGATATCTTCTGCTGAATTCACGGAGGGCCCGTTGCAAGTATACCTTAGCTGCCAAGGGTGCTTGGGGATCGCCAGCCAGGATGCCATGGCTTGCCCAGAGCGGTTCTGACGCTTCTCCCTCTGCTTCAAGAATGCGGTTGCCTGCATACACTTGCATGGCCAGAGCAGCATGTGTTGCTGGATACGACGATTCCAGCCATCTGGTTGCCAATTTCTGCAAGCTGATGCGGTCATAGAAGTTGGAGAGGTCTATATAGGAGAACAGACACTACCGTTCTTCTGTGCGCTTGGTGGTGTTCTGTCATGAATGCTCTCTTCAAAGCCACCTGCAAACACTCTGTCCCTGGTACTGCACGTTCCCAAAGGTACTCATCCTGTATGTTCTGGGCCCAAAGCTTCGTCTGGCCGCTTCTCAAGCGGCACCATAGCCTGTAAAGAGTGGCCACCAATGCTATTGGTCTTTCAATGGCTTGAGACTTTGGCAGAAGAGCTATCAGCGAGGTCCCCCATTGGCTGGGTATCATGGCCGCTGCCTCGATCTGATGGAACAGCTCTTTGAGATCTGCCATTGCACTGAAGGGCAAAGCCTTGAGGAAGTCAAAACCAATGCCATCCAGGCCTGGTGCCTTGAGGGCCAGCTGCTTGATTGTGTACCAAATCTGTGCCTCAGTCAGTGGAGGGAGCTGCTGAGCTGCTGCTTGACCTTTTTGGATCATGTGTTCCATGCATGCGATGAGGACCGGTTGATCCTGGATTTGCCAGATTTCCCCCACTGTTGCACTCTCTTGGGCATGCGCTCAGCTCTTGGCAAATCTTGGAAAGGCCGCAAATAAGGCAATTCGTCCTTCTTGAGCATCCGAAAGAGCCCTCTGCATCCTTTTTGTGTGGCTTGAGTCAGCCATTGTCGATACTCTTCTGTCTCTTGCTGAAGACTATCTTGTTGATGCAGTTCTCGCTGCTTGGTGGTGTAGTTCAACAAGACATGGATGTGCTCATCCCCATGTTGATGCCACAACATTTCAAAGAGCATCTTGTAACCTTCACATTGGACTGGAGCGTCATGGTGCCAGTTCTCGTCGATGTGCCATCCCAGCTTTTGTAAACCGCTCTGATGCCGCGGTTCTCGCTGGGGTTGGTGCAGCAGCCTCTGCAACCGCAGTTCAATCTGGCCCCAAAAAGCCAGGCTGCCTTTGCGCCACATCCAGGGTTTGCTAGGATCAGCAATTGGTCTGTGCACATACCGGAGCTGAGTGCCTCGGCCTGTCGTTGGTTTCTCAAGCTGCTGAAGCACAAACCGTTCAATGCGGTCATATGGGCTGCCAGTTTGCGAGGTGATGTTGTCAGTCTCCTTGTTGAGCCATTTCACATTGACTGGCCTAGCTTCAACTTGGTGCCATTCTTTCTCCGGCTTACTGAGCTTGGGTGCCGGCCCATACTTGGAAAGCTGCCGGACCACCACTTCATCAAAATGACCAGCAATCTGGAATCTGAGCATTGCATGGGGCTTGAAAGGAACCATCCAATCAGTCTGGACCTGCATATCTGCAATCAGCTGAGTCGATACAAAGGCCCAGTCCAGCTCATTGCCGGTATTGCAAGTCTCTTGACCAGTTGCCAATATTTGAACGTGCATGACCTGTGCCATGGTTGTGGTCATAAAGATCTCCGGTGGGATGTTGAAGTCTCCAAAAACAATCACCGGTCTTTGAAGACTTGTCACAAAAGCCAGAAGCCCTGCCCACAGCTTGGAGTTGCAGTGACCTTGCATCCCTTCACCGCATTTGAAATATGTCATCGCCAAAATCAATTCACTGGTGCCAAAGGTCCATGAAACGCCATACCACCCACAACCATCAATGACCTGCTTCTGGACAAAGTGGAAATGCTGATTTGGTGGACTTTTTTACCGTCTCTGCAGCCGGCTCACCTAGCAGGTTCAGACCTCGAGTCGCCAGCCATTGCTGTGTTTTCTCGTGATCTGCTGGTCCCAAATGGGTTTCCACCATGAACAGCGGCCGCCTAGGGCGGGTGATAATCCATTGTCTCACTGCCTGGCCCAGTTGCGTGATGTTGGCAAAATCAAAATTAATGCCTTCAGAACAGTGGCGCTTTGGTTCTGGTTCTTGTGCAACTGTTCTCTTGGTGCCGGGTGTCACATCACATTCAATGTGTGCCGGAAGCAGTTTTCTAGATGGGATCGCCCAAACTTGCACAATCTGTTGTTTGGTTTTCTCAGACAGGTGCTGTATTGGTCTGGGATAAGCCCCATCATCGACAAGCCAGTAAAGACCTCGATATATGAAAACTGCAAAGAAATGTCCTTCTTGATGGGCAGTGCCTGAGTGACACAAAAGGCCGACAAGTGAATATTGCAACGTTCTGGTTTCTTCTCCATCCAGCGTGATCGGCAGATTGAAAATGGAAGGCACCTGCAAGGCTCGATGATGTTTGGTCCATTCACCATGAACTTGTTCATATCGGCCAATTTGTGCTACCCACAATCCTTGACCATCAAACACTTGACCCTCAGCAGTGTTCGCCCATGAAGCTATCAGGTGTTCTAGATCATCCGGTCCCTGAGATGCATGGAAAATCAAATGGACAGGGAATGCTCTATGTTGCTTGACCTCTTGTCTGAAATCGACCTGGTGATAGCTCTGGATCACAGTCTCCGTCTCTGCAATTGCCACCAGCTCTTGCAGAAAGTGATATGCATCATCTTGTTTGTTGTCATCAAATGTCTCCCACAAAGTTTCCAACCCTGGCAGCTTTGGCAAATGAACCACCTCATCTGTCTTGAGCGCCTCCAGGACTGCATTCGTGGTCTTGCACCACATTTGTGGGCCATCCATGAAAGCCCCCGCCCATGACCACAAGCGGAAAGCTGCATTGGCAAAACATCGATTGTTTGGATTTCCAAGCCTGCATTGCAAGCTTTGTGCCACATAGTCAAGCGGCCACATCGGACCACTCCTGGTTGCAGCCATCTCGGACTGCTCATCTGTGTCACTCAAGGAGAGCATGGGTTCGTCCATGTCTCCAGCTCCTCCTGTGAAGCCAGGGAAAGGTGCAATCCCTTCCTGACTTGTCAGCCGCTGACCGGCTGAACTCCCCATCTCAGGCCCGTCAAAGGAAAAACCCTCATCTCCTGAGCCAAAACCTGCACAACCTTGCATGCTCACATCGCTGCTGCCCCTGGATGCTTGTAACAAGGTTGTGGCACCCCTTTCATCAGCCCTGCTAGGTAACATCCTGTTACCCACACTTCCTTCTTTTTGCCGCGCTCTCAACAAGCTTCACGGCCAGGTCTTTCACCTGGGCTGATGTTGCCTGAAACCCAACACTGGCCATTGCAGTGACTAATGCTTCAGGGGAAAGTTCATCTGCCATTTCTTCAGCATCTTCTTGCTTCTGCTTCTCGAGTTGCTGGTTGTATTGTGTTGTTGTGCTTTGCAACTCTTTCTGTGCCGTCTCAATCTTGCCTTGCAATTCTTTGAGGTCTTGCAAGAGCTGGGTGTATTGAGCTTTGACAGTGTCTGCCTTTGCCTGCAAACTTGCCTTCTTTTCTGTCAGCTGCTTTAGGGTCCCCACCGCTTGTTTGACTTTGGATGCCAAAGGCGGTTCTGGTGGATCGGGGTCCACCAGTTTCTCGACCGCCTCCTTCAACTCAGTCGGCAAACTCTGAAGGTGCTCCTTTATCAGAGTGGGCAAATCAGGTGTACTGGGTGGAGCAGTCACCTGAACACCCAGTGACGTGCATTTCTCTTTGAAGGCATCCGGCAGTTGTTCCCAATGGTCTTTGAGTGCTTTCTGTAGTGCTGGATCTTTGGCCTTCTTGGCCTTGCGTGTCCGTTGCCCCCCTTGGAGTCCCGGAGGTGGTTCCAGCAATGCATCTTTGAAAGATTTCTTTGGCCAGCGGTTCCCTTCACCCTGGAAGTTCCAGGATGCCCAAGTCACCCTTCTGTTCTTCCTCAGGTCCGGAACCTGCGTGGTCTGCCATGCCACTCCGCAGTGATTGCAAGCCAGGTTGGGTCGCGTGACCAACCGATCTTCCCAGATCCAGCTGCTCCTGCAATGCGTGCACACTTTATAGTGTCTTCTCATGCTCTGGCACGTTCTGGCCTTCCTTCTCCGCAGACTTGTGGTGTTCTTGAATGTCTGCTCAGCCCTGTGGCCGTCAGCCACAGCGCTTGATGCTGAAAATGGCCTTGAGCCTGGCTTGAGCCATTCTTTCTTTATCAATATATATATATATATAATATGTATATATATATATATACATATCCATTAATTTCAGGTGTTTCTTGCCTTGACTTGTTCTTTGGAGTCTCTTTGCGCTTTTTCTGCAGATTCTTTATATAGGTGTTCTTCTCTTCCCTCGTTTCTCCACCACGGCTTAACTATCTTAACCCGGCGCCCCAACTGCAAAAGTACAAACTGTTTAGTTTTTGTTGTGAAAGCATTTATTTTTTTTTTAGTTTTATGTCGATCAAAGAAAACCAAAACATCTGAAGCCCGGAGGAGATGATTCAAGGAGTCCGATTGGAATTGGGCATCGAGACGCAAAAGCGACAAAGCGCGGAAGCACGTGCTGAAGATGCTGTGCTGGAGGTCCAGAAATCCTTAAAGGATTTGGAGCTTCGGATGCAGGTCTTCGCAATGGAAGAGGCTCAGAAGATGATCGGAGCCCTGATTTTTAATGGCAAGTCTAATGGGGTGCAGCTGCAGCAACCAGTCGGGCCTCTTCAGGTTGGAGTCCAGAGCAGGCCGAGTAGCTCTCCCACCGTTGGGCCGGCCATCACAACATCAATGACCGCGACGTCGGGTGATGTTGAGGAGGAAGCCATGGTAGCCATGGACCTCCTGTTGGATCGGCGTAAGAAGGCTTTCCAGACGGCCTGTCAGGGTGCGACTGGTGCCTATTCTGGCCCGGAGGACTGGCGATCAGCGATGCTTGCCTTGGTGGATTTGGGGCTTCTTCAGCCAGTCAGAGAGCAGGTGCAATCAATTCAGCAAGATTTGCTCCGTCAACGAGATCTGATTGAAAAGAAGAATCGTGCAAGGGAAAAGGATATTGCAGAGGCAAATGCCAAGGGACAGAAGACGGCGCAACAATTGAGAGAAGAATGTGATACTCGCAAGCAAGAGGCGGTGGAGAACTCCATTCAGTTTCAGAAGGTTTACAAGGTTATTCTAGAGTCCAATGAAAAGTTTACAGATGACATGCAATATGCCACAGACCGTATTCGTACCTTACAGATGTTGATTGATGGGCATACTAAGCAGATTGATGGGCATACCAAGGGCATTCTGGAATGCGCCACCAATGAAGACGCTGCAAGGCTTACGGACGCCATTCAACAATGTGTGGGAAAGGAGTCCTTCAGTGGTCAGATGTCTGACCTGAAAGCGATTGTTGCTCAGCAAAGTGAGAGAATTGGCTCCATCGACCTCCAGGTCGGCATGCTCACCAGGAACACAAGCTTGAGTCCCAGTGGCAGTAAACGAAGCTTAAAGAGGATGACCAAGTTGAAAACTATGAGGAGGGACGCCTCCAAGTCAAGTCTGGCAGCATCCACTGCACCAGGACAGGACAGCCTGCCTAGCTTCTTCGGAGAGACTGAGGGAGTCGACGATGACGACGATGAGGATGGCGGTCCAGGGTCCAATGGCAAACTCTCAAAGTCCAATGGCGGTTCCAGGGTAAGCCTGGCTGCTGGTGACTTCGAGGAGGAGTTGTATGATGATGAGAGTGAGTATTCAGAAGATCCAATGGAGGAACAGATGCGAGAGCAGGTCCAAGGCATTTGCATGGGTCTTGTTTGCTTAGCTCATCACATTTTGAGAGGTCCGCCTCAAGTTGGCCTCTCGCGCCAGAATCGTCTGCTGAATGAAAAGGAGCTTCTTGATGAGCTACTGAATCTGCGACATTGGATTACCCATCGCAGAGCTCCCGCGGACTGGAGCTTGGACCGATTGACAACAGTGGCTCTAAGATATTCGCATCCCAATCCTATGGAGGTCCATGGACCGCAGCCCGAAATGACCAGCATCCTGCATCAGACCAGAGAAGCACAAGCAGACAGAGGCCGAAGCTATCCTCTAGATGTCTCAGTGGGATCCATCGGAATTCCAGGAGGTTTTGGCAGCAGTGCAGGCGGAGGTGCAGGGATCATGGGTGGGCCACTTGAGGATACCACTCTGCTTCCAAGCCCTGCTAGCAAGATTCCAGGTCTGGAAGGCAGCGCAGTGGCGCCGCCCAAGACCAGCAGATCTGGCCAAGGCTGGAGGTCTCATTCCTTGAGTGCGAAAGTACCCATGTCTGCTCGAGAGCTTCGAGGTCACATGGCATCGACTTTGCCACCCCTGCATTGAGTGCTACATATGCCATGACGATGGGGCACAAAAGCGTGATCGCGCAACAGAATGCTGGGGAAAGCTCCGGCATTTGTCATTGTCTCCTACTGCAAAAGCACGTGTGAGCCGAAAAGAGTCTTTGTGAACACAACCTGATTGAGGGTTTGTCGATGGACGCTTACATTTCTTTGCCATCTCAGTCAAGGCTTTTGTTCTCATTCAATCTAAACATCTAAGCTTAGATTAGATGCCTCCTACACGCTCCTACACTACTGAATCTTCTCGTCCCGTCTCATCTCATTGCCTTCTCCGGCTTCATCAAGTTTTGCCTGTCCATCCACCAATGCTGATTGATGGAATCGACCAAGCGGAGATGCAGCATGTTCCCATGCAATTGTCTCATGTCAAGAATTTGTACCCTGTAGCTTGCAACCTCAAGCCACCAACTCAGCATCCTCCGCATTGCTTCGCCGGAGCAGGACTGGTTGTGATAGCTTGAAACCGCTGCTGTCAACATAATTTGCCGAGAATTTTGAGTGACCTTTGTTTTCTAAAGGCAATATTGCCACATTATTTTTGGCCACAGGACTCAGGAGCTATGGCACGCAGCTCTGTTCTGCCTCTCCTTTTGGTGGCTGCTCTCTTTGTGATGCCGGCTTTTGTGCCTTCCGCAGCACCCCGCAGTGCTCCCAATGCAGCAGCGGCATCTGCTGCAGCGGGCATGCTGCCGTTGCTTGTGGTGCAGCCAGCCCTGGCCGAGGACAGACATGCCATGCATGAATTGAATTGAGTACAAAGATGATTTGTGCAGTGTAGTGCCTTGCACGATGAAGTTGAAGTACGGCCAAAGTCACAGCAGGTGCTCCTTGTCTCTGGCATGCTGTAGCTCATAAGAGCAGAAAGTCTAGTCTAGTTGATGCAGGACTACATGATGCCTCCCAGCTGGCCATTCCTGCTGATCTTCGTTGTTCTGGCAAGCGCCTTGCTGGTGGTGGGCAACTTCATCTTCCCCGGGGAGAGGAAGGCTTGAAATGTGTGATCTTTGAAAAGCGGAAATTGAGGTGGAGCTCGTTTTTGAGTCTGCAAAGTGGCAGCTGATGTGTGATTTTGATGTGGTTTAGACTTTAGCTGAGCTGACATAGAAACTAGACCTGCGTAATCTGCGTGGGGAGAAAAAGATTCCAACGAGAGATGTGAATCGAAGTGAAGCCATTCCAAATCTCATGCTTGCGCATGTGTTCTAAATCCATTCTGTCTTGATTGATGCATGTGGCTCATGCTGGGGAGCAGGGCTTGGTGCGACATCCGCAGGGATGTCAAGGGCTCAGGACCCATGAGTTCAAGCAAAAAGCAAGGGCCGTTTGGCATTGCTCACGTTTGCTCCTTCTTTTGCCCAGGGATCTAGCTGCTATTTCTGCCAATGCGCTTCTGCCTCAGCCAATCAATGGCTGGTTGACATGTGGTGAATCCTTTCTTTGCTTTCTTCACAGGTTGGATCCGGATGATCCTTCCATCAAGGGCCGAAGTTGGGAAGCTGTGGAGAAGGCTGGAGCGTCCAGCCGCTGTTTCTTGGAATGCGGCTGAAAAGCCGGGCAGAAGGAACTACTTCAAGTGCCGAGGCCTTGAAGCAACGAGACGCCTATGTTGCATCACTAAATGGCTTGGAGCCCATGGCTTTGGAAGCACCAGGTTTTGGAACTCTATCAGATTATCAGGTCGTGTCGAGGCTTTTCCTTTTTCTAACAAGAGAAAGGGAGTTAACACACTACTAGCAATAGGAAGCTCCTAACTAGGACGCAGGATAGCTCACGCTTCAAGGAAGCTCCCCCCGGCTGAGGGCAGGGGGAGCTTCCTTGAAGAAGCGCTTGCACTAATGCTTTGGTTCAATTTACTATTCTCTTTTAGTTATTTGCATTTGCACTTGTGTCCACTGCCTGGGCTCAAAGTAGAGGGCTTGCCGTGAATGGTCGTGCAGCGTTGCGCATTTGCTTGAGGCCTGCCGGGTGGTTGTCTGACAAGATGCAATGATGCATTCCTTCTTTTTTGCCTTGCAGTGTTCTGAGGCGTTTTGAAGCTCCATCAAATGGAGTCTTCAACAGATGAGGAACAACTCTTGCCACCACATCAGCTCAAAGTGAAGGCCAGCGATCATTCTGAGTTCTGATTCAAACATGTCCCAGTCAAAAAAAAACAGTGCCTCCGCATTCCTACCTGTAAGTCACACGGCATTTTTCGTGGATTCCTGATGTCATCCATGAAGTTGACACTAATTAAGGTGAACTCCATAGTCCATATTGTTGATGTTCGCACTTCCTCTCAGGCCTATAGCCGTTGGTGGCCAGCTGTTGCTGCACTTGGCTGCTCCGCTCTTGTCTTGAGGAGTGGTCCAGACTAATTGGGAGACCTGCAAAGACCCGCTGGAAGAAGAAAACTAGACCCACACCCGTGTGGGGGGCTCTGGTTCGTCCAGGAGAGCAATTGAGATTCCACCAGATTACTGCAAGTAGACGTTCACACCTACCAAATTCACCATTCCGAGGTGAGACAGGATGCTTAACAGCATACCGACCCAAAAAGAGTGCAAGCGACTTGTTCGTTTATATACCCCTTTTGAGCAGCTCAAGACTTTTCCTGACAATCTCAAACATTCGTTGTTGAACTTATTTGATACAATCAGAGTTGACTGGTGTGTGGCCTCAAAGATTGACGATGCGAAGGTGGCGACCACGCACTGGTGAGCACCCCGGTGAGCACCCCGCAATCAAACCCAGCCTTATTAAGAACCTTTTCCCCAAGACTCCCTAGTGTGACCACATTGTTTGGGGAATATCCATGGGTTGTTGGCCATCTCCCTCTTAAAGAGGCAAACCCGTATGACACTTTGGAACCGATCAGATCACGGTCCCGCAGCCCGAACCGTGCGGGCCGTGGGACCGTGTGCAGGTCGGTGCTCAACACCGACACGGCAAAGGACGGATCGGTCGCTTTTTGTCTCAGCACCGGTCGCTTTTCCTGCGACGTACCTGACTGGTCTGCAAGTGGTTCGAAACCAAATACCCGCACTGCAGATTTCATGTAGGATGTCAGGCAGTTGGAAACATCTGGAGGAATTTTCTATAGCAGCTTGGTGACAAACTGAGACTGACAATTGTAGGACCTGGAATCGCCAAGGGATTGTGTGAACTTATATTGTACAATTGCTGCCAACTCTCCCAAACCGTCAGCCCAGGTTCAAATGGTCAGACGGAAGTGCATTTCGAGTTGAGTCGTCAACGGATTTCGGCAGCTGACATCGAGCAAATTTGGCCAGGTATCAACGTAACTGGTCAAATTTTTGAGACTCCACAAGCACAAGCGCTGCACCCGAAACACATTGAACACCGTCTCCTGCGTTCGTATATTTTTCTTGTTTGTAGTGTCAGATTGACTATCCTGTTTTTTATTTTCTATATTCACTTGATAAGGACATGTGTGGAAGGAACAGCACTTAGTGGACCAGACATTTCCAGCTCTAAGGTCCACTTCGATGAGGGCACTGGTACTGTGACGTCCCAAAGCTTGAGCGACTACACAGCGCAGCTCCTCTCAGAGCCCTCCCCTTTTGGTGGTCAGACTTTCGGATGCAATTTGATGAATGGACGTTATATATTACTACTTATACTGATGCGTGCGTATTGTTCTGTTGATTCTGTTTGTAGTTTGACCAGTATTTCGTCCGCTTTCATGGGATATGTGGACGAACCATTCTGACAATCATGCCTTGGTGCACATGCGCTTGAACTCACGGGCTTGAAACCGGCCCTGCAGGCAAGGGGCTGTAAAGATCCCTGCAGGCAGCGTGACAGGGTGAAACCAGTCATAGCATTCTTGTTTGCCTCTAAGACACGCATCTTTTCCGCGTCCAAAACTCTACTCCGTCTTTTCGGGTGTCTCCGCAGATGTGTCTGCTTCCAGCTGTCAACTTCTACAGGAGAATCTTCCCAATAAGGGATCTGATCTACCCGTCCACGAAGATCAGAGGCATGGAAGCTCCTTTTGGCCAATCCGGCAGGTCAAAGCTCAAGCGATCAGCTGGACTGGGGACAATACGTGGTCTACACCAGGAAGCAGGCAGCTATGAGGGGTTTGCATTAATCCACTGTGAAGATTGGATGAGCAGCAAGAAATGGGATTGTCACGAAAGCTGTCATTAGCTAGCTGAGTTTGTTCCCACCACAGTGATCTTTCACCCAGACACGAAAAGGGGAAAATGGCCGTTGCGTTTGAGCATTGTTTCTTTGTTGAACCAGGACGACTCGGTGACATGCTTTTGCAACCGATTGCCCTAGGTTTGGTTTACCTCGGCCTCAAGTTCTCACAAGTCTAAGTTTCATAGTCCAGAGTCCATAGTTCTCAATCCGGACAGGTTAAGTTTCATACTGTAAGTTTTTGGTCACACGTTTTGCAGAGTTGGGTCGTCAATAAGTTGTCACATGGGCTACGCACTGCTGAGCTGCGTGATTTGAGAAGGGTTGGGATAGTACAAAAATGCATGAACTTCACACATGAGTCGCATCGAGCGCCTTTTTTGCGCTTTGCATATCCGAGGGCTATGGTTCACCTCAGGTTTGCTACATAGCGGCGCTGATTGCCTCTGGGAATGAAGCGGCAGACTATCACAGTGGTCTCAGCCAACTCATTCCTCCGGACAAATGCTTCTTGGATGTAATTTCGCTTTGAAGCCGCCTTGGCTTGGGCCCGGTAAGGTTTGACTCCAGAGGAAAGACAAAGAAGTACAAGGAAGGATGAAGCCGGTAGGGAATGAAGGCAGAAGGAATAGCCGGGAAAGACAGTCCATGCTTGTTACCCTTTCTATGCTTTTCTCCTAATAGAGCTTTGCGGCGGTTTGTAAGCTTTCTTCTGCTTTCCGAGGCACCACAGGTGATCTCTACCAAGCTGGCTTCAACCGAGCACTGCTGGGTTTGTTGGCGGCTTGCTCCGTAGATCCAACGTTGGCAGATGGAGGTCAAGGCGGGGGGCAGTGATCAACTTGCTATGACATAGCCTAAGCATCACTTGCACAAAGTAATTGCTTGCTGAAACTCAGACTTAAGCAATCATCGTGCATCATGACTAAAGCATCGCACATCACCGTGCTCATACAGGCCCCGTGCTCATTGTTGCGAAGAGCACAGATGATCTGAGCAAGGCTCCTTCTTTGGACAACTCGGTATCTTGACGGAGATGAGCTGCCAATTTTTTGAACATGTATGACCAGGACGTAGGATGGCCAAGAACAAGAATTTCAAGTCATTTCATCCCGCTTGCTTGTGTAGATTTTTTTCTTGAGGGTTCTGTTTCCAAGGGTGTGCCTCTTGCTGATGTTCCTCTCCGCACTTGCCGCTTCCGTCGTGCACTTACACAATTGAACTAAGCACTTTCAGAATACACTGATGCTGGTCGCCTTCTCTATAGTCACTTTGTGGCTCATCTAGAAGCACTGCCGACATCAGTAGAGGGAAATGAACGAATTCTGTTTTTCTCACAAGATTTTCAAGGTGATGGATCTACAGGAAACCCACCCCTCTCGGACATTCCGCAAACACCACAAGAAGCATGTAACGACGATGACTCCTTTCCTGTCGATGCTTGCTTGCATGTACGACGATAGTTGTTTCGGTCTTCCTATTATATAGTGAAGTTTCCCCAAACATCTAGGATCACATGATTAATGATTAGTGCGTGAGCTATCCTGCGTCCATATGTAGGAACTTGCTTGTAGGTACTAGCTACCTAGCTTCTACTACTAGCTACCTACCTAGCTAACCTACCTCACTTCGCGGCCTACCCCGCCGGGCAAGGAAACAGGTGGTTTCCAACTGAGGACTTCATGAGGAGCGGCAATTCTTTGAAAGGACAAGTCATGGTGGCCTCCCGGCTGATCAGAGAGATGCAAAGCGGAAGCACAAAGTGATCATCATAAGCAATTCTTAGAATCAGAAGCAGTGAGGAAGCTGTTGGGCTTCTAGCAGCTGTCGCAGCTGTCGCAGCAGCTTTGCATTCTTTTTCCAGTTTCAGTTAGCAGTTGAGGACATTACCGCAGCTTGGATCGGTGGGTACATCCTCGCACACAAAGGTGGTGCTGAACTTTCGTGTGGAACCACATTTTTGTCATATGCACAGTTTATATAGCTGCATTTTAGCCCCTTCATAAGGATCGCGCTTTTTATGGGGTTGAAGGCTGTGGTGGATTTGATGGAGGGCAAGACGAACGGCTGATGACGACCATGCCAGATGCTTGCCGTGCAGTTTGTCGCTTTTGGGGTACTTCGCGCCTCAAGCACTTCAACAAGAATCTTCCGAGTTTGTCAATGCTCGAGCCGAGGAAGTCATGGTTGGCGCCTCAAGCGTTTGACGAAGTGCCACGCAAAATACTACTAGTAACAAGTGCCACGCTAGTAGTAACAAGTGCCTTACTA